AAGGGGATACAACTTTAGGGAGGAATGTCACATCTGTGCGGAGAACTGCCCTTTCCTCATGGACAACAAAGTACGGTTCGTCCACTCGCAGTGCCGCAAGTTCCGACGGCCTATGGGCCGAGGTGATCACGACCAGAAAGGCCACCTTCCATGAAAGAAGTCGGAGGTCGATCGACGCCAAAGGTTCGAAGGGCGCTTGTGCGAGCCGGGCCAGCACGAGGTCGAGGTCCCAACCGGGAGTTGGAGAGCGGACTGGGGGATGCAGGTTGTTGAATCCCCGCAGGAAAGACTTCACGGAGTTATCCTTGAACAAGGAGGCTTCCCCTCTTCGTTGAAGCTGCCAAGAGATGGCCGCTAAGTGAGACTTGAGCGATGATAGCGACAAGCCCCATTCGGTAAGGTGCAGTAAGAACAAGAGAATTGACGGTACCGAAGGCCGATGATCGTCTAGCCCTTTTTCGGAGAGGAAGGCCTGGAAGCGGTTGAGGCACGCCGAATAGCATTTCTTAGTTGCTGGCTTATGAGCTGCGGCCAGGATCGGAAGAACTCCTGGACAGAGAGATCTCAGAACTGGATCCTCCACGCCGAAAGATGAAGAGAAGCGAGGTCGGGGTGGAGCAGCTGACCCCCTTCCCAGGAGAGTAGATCCTGTCGAAGTGGAAGGCGTCTCATCCGTCCCTCGGACAACTGGAGGAGGACTGAGAACCACGGTTGTCGTGGCCATTCCGGCGCTATCAGGATGCAGTTCGTTTGCGCTGATTGGATCCTCTCGATCACCCTTGGGATGAGCGGGATGGGCGGGAAGAGGTAGAGCAGATGTCTCGACCAATCTAGGAGGAATGCGTCTCCGAGACACCCTGGTACCGTGCTCGGAGCAAGCCGAGCACCGAACTGCGGGAGCTGAGCGTTTTGCGGCGATGCGAAGAGGTCTGCCGCCGGAAGGCCCCAATCTCTGAAGATCTTGGCCAGCTCGTCGGGGTTCAACCTCCACTCGTGTGAGGTCGACTTGGTTCTGCTGAGTGCGTCCGCCTCGACATTGGTCTCGCCTGGAAGGTGCAGAGCTGTTATCGACACCGACCTGGCTACACACCACTCCCATAGTTCCAATGACAGCTTGAGCAGTTTTCTCGAGCCCGTTCCGCCCTGCTTGTTCACATAGAACATTGCCACCATGTTGTCCGTAAGGATTTGGACAGACTTCCCGGTGACCAGAAGGGCGAACGCCCTTAGGGCTTTGAAGATCGCCAGCAATTCCAAGTAATTTATGTGGCATTGTCTTTCCTGCGGAGACCAGGGATCGTGTACCGAGAGTTCTCCTGTATGGCATCCTCATGCGAACATCGAGGCATCCGTCGTGATGGTGACGGATGGAGGGTCTGGGTGGAATGGGATGCCCTTGCAGACATGCTGGCGGTTCATCCACCAGCTCAGCGAGTCCTTCACCGACTTCGGGACCGTCAAGCGTTTTGTGGCACTGTCCCGCATCGGGTTGAAGTGATCCAGGAACCATCTCTGGAGGGGACGGAAGCGAAGCCTCGCCAACGGTGTCACCATCACCGTGGAGGCCATGTGCCTGAGGAGGACCTGTATCTGTTTCGCTGGAACCACTCGGGATCGACGAACTTTGAGTGCCTCGGCACGAAGAGCTCTGAATCTCTCCTCCGGGAGGAACACTGACTGGGAGAGAGAATCGAACATGGCGCCGATGAATTTTATGCAAGTGGTGGGTTCCAGTTGAGATTTCTCCTCGTTCAGCTGGAGGCCCAGGTTTTCGAGGAGGGAAAGTGTCTTTGCCACCTGGATTCGCAGGAGGTCTGGGGAGCAGGCCGCCAACAACCAGTCGTCTAGGTATGGGAAAATGTGGATTTTTTCCCTTCTGAGGGCTGCTGCGACCACCGACATGCATTTGGTGAAAGTTCTCGGTGCCGTCACGAGCCCGAATGGAAGCACGTTGAAGGCATAAGTCTGTCCCGCTACCCTGAAAGCCAGGAAGCGTCTGTGGTGTTTTCTGACAGAGAGGTGGAAATAAGCGTCCCGGAGATCGACGGACGCGAAGATGTCCCCGTATCTGAGGAGAGGCAGTACGGACGATACCGTCACCATCCGGAACTTCTGGGGTTCGATGAAGGAGTTTAAGTCCCTGAGATCGAGGATTGGGCAGAGGGAGCCATCCGGCTTTGGGACAGTAAAGTATCTGGAGAAGAAGGCTCGATGATTTTGAGAGTCCGGTAGGGGGGAAATGGCCCCTTTCAGAAGCAAGGTCTTGACTTCTGTTAGAATTGCCGAAGATGGTTCGGTATCGACAATAAGTCCCATTGGTGGGAGCTCTTCGAACTCCAATGCATAGCCTTCGTCGACAATCTTTAAAACCCATGCATCTGAGGTGATATTTTCCCATGCAGGGAGAAAGTTCGTCAGGCGATCCCCGAACGGTGTCAAGCCGGATGGAAGGATGAGGGCGGGTACCATTGGGAGGGACATGGGAACAACATCGGTAACGGAACTGCAAGCGGTATCGTCCATTGGGGCGTCAAATGCGGCGCCTGGCCTGGTTGCCTCCTGAAGCCTGGCGGGATCGTGAGCACTGCTGTTGATGCTGCCTACGCTGCTGTTGAGGCTGTTGAGGGTGGGTTTGTTGGGAAGCATGCAGAGGACGGGCTGGCTGGCGGTATTGTATCGTGCGGTACGGGACCGTGTGCCGACGCTTGTATTGGAACCATCTGGTTCTCTGTGCCTGGTTCTGGTTTTCGAACCCGCACTTGGCAGCCAGAGTCTTGAAGTCATGATTTGACTTTAGCTTGTCGTCCGTCCCGGCATTAAAGAGTCCCAAGGTGTCAAAGGGGAGGTCCTCGATGACCTGCCTCGATGATGTGGAGAGGCCAGAGGACCGGAGCCAGGCATGCCTCCTAATTGCCACGGCGTGGGCAATCATCTTGCCAGCAGTGTCTCCTGTGTGTTTGGCCATCTGCATTTGGTGATGTGCCAGAGAATTCGCCTCCTGAGCCAGGGTGGAAAGGGCGGAACGGTCTTCCTCAGACATCCTCTGGAAAAACGGTGCCGCTTTCTCCCAGAGTATCTGCTGGTATGCACCCATACAAGCGCCATATATGCGGGCTAACAAGAGGGCGCCAGAGTAGAGCTTTCTGCCCACCACATCGAATCTTTTCCCCTCACGATCGGACGGCGTCGACGATTGCCTTCCGAACGCCTGAGCCGCTTTAACCACCACCGAGTTGGGATCGGGGTGATGTTTGAGCCACTCCAAACCCTCATCGTCCGTTCTGTACCATGATTCTATCTTTTTGGATGTTGGAGGGATGGAGGAAGGGGTTTTCCAGGAACCCTGGATGACCTCGAGGAGATAGGGAAGGAAGGGTAGAAGAGGAGCAGGTGGAGATTCTGATTGCACCCTCTTAAACACCGGGTCTTGCACTGCTTTGGAAGTCTGCTTGACCTCCAAGCCTAGGGCATCAGCCATGCGAGCCATTTGATCCGCAAAGGCTCGGACATTGTCCGTGGGAGATGGTGGATCAGCTTCATAAGCGTCGTGAGTGGGTGATCTCTCGATCCCGAGAGATAACACCGATCCCGAGTGTACCGATCCCGGCAACTCGCCATCTTCCTCTTCATCTTCGGCAGGAATGGATTGGGGAGGAGGGGATGAGGAAACGTCCCGACTCGGCTGCTGCGGCAGGGCTGATGGAGGAGCTTTAGAGGTCGAGGCCTGAATGGCACGGGCCAGTCTCATAGTCTGCCTGCCCCTTTCTGGAGTCTCCGTCACTGGAGAAGTCTCCTGTCTTGCCATCACAGTTGTCACGGTCTCCTGTCTGGCTGTCACAGATGGAAAAAGCTCCTGTCTGGCTGTCACATGTCGAGTTGGCGCCTCGATCACCGTGTCCACTGAAATCACAGGGGAATCAGGCTGCTCCAAAAGCGGCTCTGGTGACCGCTGTGGCTCCTGAGCGGGCTGAGGGACCTGCTGAGGTTGAGCCGGCTGCAAAGGCGATGACCTCGCCGATGAGGTAGCCGAGGAGGCAGTGGTTTGTCTTCGGGAAGAAGAAGAAGACGACGATGGAGGCGGCATCGACTTCTTCTTCTTCACCGGCGGCTGTACCGTCTTCGACAGAGACTTGCCCGGGGTGGGCGGGACGGAGGATGAGGTGGAAGCACGCCAAGGCAAGGCGAAAGGCAATGCGAACCGCCGTGGAAGATGGCGGAGTCGCCGATGTCGACCTCGTGGATCTGATTGATCTCACCGACGCCACCGAGCTGGTCGAAGAGTGCCGGATGCGCACGGTCTCAGTCGTGACCGTGCATGGTTCCTTCTGCTTCGCAGGCCTTGTGGCCTTAGAAGCTGTCGACACCGAAGCCTTAGAAGCTGTCGACATAGCTGACCTCGGTCTTTTCTGTGCAGCCTTTTTCGCCCTTGTCTGGCGAGGCTCGACCTGAGTCGAGGGATCGACGGATTTTGAGGTCGATGCCTCCTTCGACGTCGATGCCGATGTCGATGGCTTGGATACTGCAGTTGACGTCGACGCCGATGTCGATGTTGAAGGTACCGGAGCCAACGTCTGCTGGTACAGAAGGTATCGAAGCCGATGAACCCGATTTTTACGGGACTGTGCCGTCAACGATTGACAATGACGACACGAAGATGTGATGTGTGCCTCTCCGAGACACAAAAGACAAAGAGCATACTTGTCCGAATCAGGGATCTTCCTCGGACAATTCGCGCATCTTTTAAAGCGAGTCGTTGACATAATACTATCCAATCACTAGTAGAAGAATCAAAACAGGAATTGTGTCGGTATGCACGGGGCGCCCTTTTATCCCCTGCCGGGGCTGGGCGGGGTTACCGCCAAAACTTGAAAAGTTTAAACTGTAGAAGTTTCCGTTGGAGCCCGCGCAGGTGCAGTCTCTCCACAAGTGTGCATTTGCAGAGACCATGAAGAAAAAATATGCTGTAAGTATGTCTGTGATTATAGATCTATCTCTGTTACCTTGGTGGACAATCTCTTTCAATGCATTTCTTTTGCTTTCCATTTGGTTGTGTTTCTGGATCGCAAAACAGGGTTTTCACCACACCTTTCCCCTTTTTCACACAGCGGGCAGTTTGTCGTTGGAAGCCTACAAAGAAAGAATAAGTTGAGTTCAGAACCAGTGGAGCAATGAGTGGCTTTTAATAGGTGGAGGATTCTAAGTGTGAGAGCAGCTGGCATACTCATGCCAGGCATTTGGGATCAATATTGTTAGCATCCTCCCAATGGCACAGATCCTCAGGAAGGCCATTGCTGACCTTGTTGGCTGTGTGATTCTGAGAGCAACTGAGTTAAAAAAGGCAACTTTTCCAAGTTCTGGTTATGCATAGAGTAGTTTCTTCAAGGTCTGAAGGTGGGACTAGGAAGAAGCCCAGTCCAGGGAAGAGAATCCAGTTTTAGTAGAGGAGCTCTATCTAGGTTACGTGTGTAATATAAAAAAGAAGTTGAAATATATCAGAGGGAAAAGTGACTGACAGAAAGAAATTATAGTGTAAGTATCTAGTCTAGCATCTGAGGAAAAAGGCTAACGGTGCATCCACTTTGTAGCATTACTGCAGTTTGATACCACTTTAACAATGCTATCAAACAGTGGTTCTCAACCTGTGGGTCCCCAGGTGTTTTGGCCTACAACTCCTAGAAATCCCAGCTAGTTTATCATGGGAATTGTTTCATCTTCTCTGCCTTCTCTGCTGGTGCATTACCAAATTACCACTCCCATGATTCTATAGCACTGAACCATGGCAGTTAAAGTGATGTTAAACAGCATTATTTCTACAGTATAGGTGCACATTTAGTCTATGAAAGCTTATGCTACAATTTCTTTCACCCAGTTAGTCTCAAGGACGCTATAAGATCCCTTTGCATACTGCTATTTCAGGGCTCTTCCACGCAGCCATATAACCTAGAATAACAAGTCTGAAAATCCCACAATATCTGCTTCAAACTGGGTTATCTGAGTCCACATTGCTATATATTCCAGTTCAAAGCAGATAATGTGGCATAATTCAGATGTGGAAGGGGCCTCAGACTTGCATGACTTCAGGAAAGAGAAACCATTTTCTCATTGCTTTCTGAAAAAGTGGCAAGGAACAAAACTTTGTTTTCTGGTCAGCTGTCTACACTACATACATAAACAGTAAGAACGTTGAATGGGGCCAGCATTACTATCAGGCACAATGAGAATCTGTCTCAGGCATAAATGCAAAAGGCAGAATTGGGAGCAGGTCAAATACTTTCGATACCTTGGTATTTGCTATAAATATAACCTGATGTGGCTTTCACAGTAATAAGCAGTAATGGCTTCTGCACATACCAACATTGCAGCAATATATTGTTCTCCTACCCCATCATTAATTCCATATGAGTGTGGAGTCATGGCAGCATATCTTCACATTTTGATTAATCCCACCCTGAGAAGAGCTTTGGTACACTGCAAGGTGGAATATGTTGCCATCAGCTCTTTGGGATGGTAGATATAAAAAAACGGAATGTTCCAAAAGGGTTTGTTCTTATGACTGGGTCTCTGTTGAAACACTTTGTCATTCTTTGTTTGCTTGCCCCAAATATGATAATATACAGATAAAATACAGGAATTCCATTTTTTCAGAGTGTTCTCAATGACCAGGGTGTTATAAAATTCCATATCTTCTGAACAACTCTGATGCATTCATTTGTGAGACTGTTGCAAATTTTATCCTTGAGATTAGTAACTTCTCATAGAATCATAGAGTTGGAAGAGACTCTATGATTGAACAACTGCTTTGAACTAATCTGGCGTAGTGAAGGATGCTACTCTGTCACTACAGTTAAAGGAGGATTCAATTGAGAGTCCAATCAACATCTGAATGGGGAACAAGAGACAAAGGCAATTTCACCCTCACCAGAAAAATGTCTTGCGTTGGACATGACCTTTAGCAACAACCAATTTCTAATGCCCATCTGACTCAAGCAAATAGCTAATTGTTTATCCATTAATGTAACAAAAAGAGGAAAACCAGGGCATGTCTTAATTAGCCATCTAACTTAACATGTCACAAAGTAATTTCCTTTAAGTCATTATCATAAAATGAGTAGAAATGTCTGGGAATCAGAGCAACACATTGGGCATCTAGCAAGATTCGTGCAAGGACACAGCAATTAAAAAAAAGGACTGAATAGCTCTCACCACATTATTAACAAGAGCAGTGTTTCTAAAACTCTGCTTTTCCAGGTGTTTTGGACTTCAGCTCCCAAAAATCCCAGCCAGTTTACCAGCTGTTCGGAATTGTGGAAGCTGAAGTCCAAAACACCTGGAACAGCAGAGTTTGAGAAACACTAAACAAGAATATTGTTGCAAATATGTACGCATGTGCTTCAGCTACAAGTGCTACTTCAGTCAAAGCTAGGCAGGTTTCCCAGGTTTTGATTGTAAAGTGTTCCAATTAGTTTTGAGGAATCTGCAAAAATATTTTTGGGACACCCTTAGAATGCCCCTGCCAGCATGGCTACTAGGGGATTATGGGAAATACAATTGAGAAATAATTGTTTCAAGCTCTGGAACAGACAAAACTCCTTTGAATATTGGATTAATTTATATGTTCACTACATACCCCACAGTAGTTTCCAAATCTTAAACCCATTCAAGTATTTTTGTTGCCTGAAGAAATTGACAAGTGGATACCACCAGTCCTTACAAAAATTGGTTAACTAGTCTAGTTGTTGAGTTTGTTTTGCAATGGTGACACATTGCATTGCTCTTCATACCCCACCAACAGCATCTACCTATTAGTAGGGTCTGCTCTGGATCCATATTTAGTTGCACCACCATTTTACTTTTTAGAGGTTCCATATAACCATCACAACAGGCAGAAATTAATCATGTAACGTTTTTGAAAGGCTGTATCTGTATATTAGGAAAGGTCTACCACTATCAAACAAAATATAGTATTTTCTCGTTTCTGCATATTCTTACTTTTGGTAAATTAATTTGGAAAAGAATCCACTTTTTAGAACATCCTAACGAATGAACATCAATCCAAAGAAAGCTAAGCTGCTTTACATGTGTAGTTGCAGGCTGATATGTGTTTAGATTAACCTTAGTGACAGACACATTTGCTGCTGATTCTCAGCCTCAGTCCATTGCAATATGAGAGTAATAACAATGCAATAAAATAGTTGCAAAATAGTTGCGATATCAGCTTTTTCAGATGTCACCACTAAGTTTGGTTTCTTGTTATAGGAATCCGCTTATATACTCTTCCTCTGTTTCTTTTGGGAGGAGGATTTAAAAGAATAGGAATGTCATGTTTAGACAAACCTCAGCTCATCTGGACATCTGAATTCAAACAAATTATGGTTTATCTTAATGGCCGTTTGTTAAAACTAGCCCATGGGTTGCTAAGTTTATTAGTTCTAAATAACTACAGTTCAGATTAGCGATATTTTATAGTTCAGTCCTTTAAACTATGTTAACTGGAAACAAAAGTAGTTCACTAGTAGAAATCACCATGATGTGAGTGTGCGTCTGAGAGAGAAATCAGATGAGAAGAGGAATTACCATGCTCTTAACAGGAGATGGCAGCAGAAGTAAGGAACTCTGTCAGCTCCATGCAATGTGTGGGTTCCTTCTAGCCCAGAGATAGGATAACTACTAGGCCTGGGTAACAACAGAAAAATTTGTTTCTAAAATCGCTTCATTTTTTGGGGGGGTTTTGCGTTTCGTTATTTAAAATAATTACAAAATTTTCCTTTTAAAAAGTTCGATATTTACGAAATTTCGTAAATGTGAAAAAAATTACAAAACATTAACGAATCGATTTCCGAAACAATAACGAATCGATTCGTTAATGGCGGACGCGACCGCGCAAATACGCTAAAAAACCTCCAAATGGGACAGGGGGAACTTCTGAAGCTTAATTAAACCAAAAACAACTATAAAAACCCTTAGAAAACCAAAAACAACTATAAAACTTGCCCCAGACATGCGGAAATAATAACGAAACGACCTCAAAACGATAACGAAACGAATACAATAACGAAATACAAAACATTTACGAAACGATTTAAAAATTCGTTTTTTTAAAAAATTGCTCCAGACTGGTTCGTTATCGTTTTGTAATTGAAAAATTAACGAATTTTTTTAACGAATTACAAATTAACGAAACGAAACCGCCCAGCCCTAATAACTACAACTATTTTAACAGTCCACCTTACCCCAAAGTGCCCCAAAGGCATGTTACAAGGCAATCGACCCCCAAAGTAAAATCAGCCCTATACACAGCCTAAAATAGTCAGAATTGGAATATTGTGTCCAATTCTGGGCACCACAATTGAAGAGAGATATTGACAAGCTGTAATGTGTCCAGAGGAGGGTGACTAAAATGATCAAGGGTCTGGAGAACAAGCCCTATGAGGAGCGGCTTAAGGAGCTGGGCATATTTAGCCTTAAGAAGAGAAGGCTGAGAGGAGATATGATAGCCATGTATAAATATGTGAGAGGAAGTCACATGGAGGAGGGAGCAGGCTTGTTTTCTACTTCCCTGGAGGCTAGGACACGGAACAATGGCTTCAAACTACAAGAAAGGAGATTCCATCTGAAAATGAGGAAGAACTTCCTGACTGTGAGAGCCGTTCAGCAGTGGAACTCTCTGCCCCAGAGTGTGGTGGAGGCTCCTTCTTTGGAAGCTTTTAAACAGAGGCTGGATGGCCATCTGTCAGGGGTGATTTGAATGCAATATTCCTGCTTCTTGGCAGGGGCTTGCACTGGATGGCCCGTGAGGTCTCTTCCAACTCTTTGATTCTATGATTCTATGAATCAGAGACTGATAGTTATGTCTGATTTTATTTCCCCCCACATGGAAACTACCTTATTTGAAGGGCATGCAGCCCACTGTGTACATGATGCCCCTGTTCTCTCCGCAGTTGCCCATACCATGGCTAGTAGCTACTCCACAAGTGATCTCAGACTGCTGAGATCAAAGAATGGTAGCTGGGAAGTCAGCGATGAATGCTTACATCATGTATCACGCACTACTCCTGGCTTGTACAATCGCTTTAACATTAATGGATGTATATTCATCTTCTGCTTTGATCCCTCCACAGTGGCATGCTAGAAAATGTCATCAGTCACTGCTGGCTATGGAGAGTCTTAAAGGATTATATAAATATTTGACAAACAACTTTTATGTTTTCTTTAAAAAACATTTGCTTCCTATTTTTGAAAAGCCTGTGAAAATATTTTTGATTGTTTTTGTACAGCAAGATGGCAAATGTTCACTTAATTAAATCAAGGGAGAGAGTGGGGGGGGGGGATGTGCCTGTTTTGTTGACAGGAAGGGCAAAATTACATGCTAAATTGTTTAACATCACATCCAACCAATCACTGATAAGCAAGCTCCTGAAGTGGCTTCCAATATGCTGATTCTCTCTACAGGATGGCCTCTCCAAGGGCATGTGGTTCAAGACAGGTGTTAATTAAATTCCATTTGTCAACCCCTGAGCAGTCTATTTGTTCCTTAACTGTCATGCTGTTAAGATAATGAATGGTGAAGCCAAAGCAGCTGGCAAGCGGCACTGGTGTATTCTTACCACGTCCACAAGTCACACTGCAACCTGTCCAGCTCCCGTACTGCCAGAAATACTCCGGCTCTTCCACTTCATTCTCCGAGCTCCAGTCTTTACGGAGAGTATATTCATATTTTATTCCAGGGTTATTCTCCTGAAAGAGTAGCTGAAAAAAAAACCCCAGCATGATCTTATCTATATATGATCACAAAAGAGTAGCAAGAAAACATAAATGCAAGACAGCTTCATATTTGGAAGGGGAGCAAAGATGGGCAATTGGTGGCCCCTTAAGATGGTGATGATCTCAGACTGCCCTCAGTCCAAGACAAGATGCCAATGGTTGGGGATTATGGAAAGTGTAGTATAGGGTTACTTAAAAAGAGGGAAACGTGTTCTTCTAAAAATTGTGGCAAAAGTCTCCTGTTTCCTTTTGAGTTAGTGAGAGACAAACAGGAACATTAATTCTCTTATTTTTATGAGTAAAGGGCTGCAGAAGATGGCACATTGTCCAAGTATGAAGTATTTATACAGAAGAGGGAATGGTGGCATATATATTAGTGTTTCCAGACCTTTTAACAGTTGTCTTGTAGGCAGGAGCCAACAGGGAACATTTTTCAAAGATATGCAGGTAGATGTTATCTGTTGGTGGTTGTGGCACTGCTAAAGGCATAATAGATAGCTACAGGACTGGTTCAAAAGATGGTAACTTTGCACATAAGCCTCATCATAATGGGATGAAAAACTTTCACTCATTGAAATCCATCCATCCCTTTCTTTATATCTTGATTTTCTTCCAGGTTGGGACCAAGGTAGCTTTACTTATGATCTTTCACATTGCATGGCTATAATGCTATATCAGTGCCCTTTGCTTTTAGACCAGGCCTGGGCAAACTTTGGCCCTCCTGGTGTTTTGGATTTCAACTTCCACAATTCCTATCAGCCTATCGGTTGTTAGGAATTGTGGAAGTTGAAGTCCAAAACACCTGGAGGGCCAAAGTTTGCCCAGGCCTGTTTTTGATGGTCAACTCTTTTGAACTATAGACAGAACTCACACAATCAATGCAAATGAAAATAAAACAAACATTTAAATAAGAACAAATTAAAACAAAACCAACTCAAAATTCAACAATTTAAAAATAGAATTGATTTAAAACAAAACCGATTTATCATTTAACCAATTTAAGATACAACCCACTTAAAATAAAACTGAATCAAAAACAGTACTGTGCCATAAAGTCCCCATCAAAATTAGTTTCCAAATGCTGGTTGGAAAAGAAAGATCTTAATCAGCTGTCAAAAGAAACAAAGAAGAAGTTTTCCTAACTTATCTTCTTGTTCTATTGGTTTCATTATAGAATAGGACTTTCTTGATGGCTGCTTCCAAAGTGTGGAAGCATCCATCAAAAAGTCCTATTCTATAATGAAACCAATAGAACAAGAAGAGAAAACATCATTCCATTCCCACATCCATTTGCTATAGCATATGATGCCCTGACACACCTGCAGCCATACAGATTCATTTGTAGGTCCAGGAGCAGTGAGGTTTTCCAGGTCTCCTTTTCTCCCATACTGAAATATCGTTCCTGCCACTTTGTAGTCTCCATTCCATTGGATAATGAAGCCCCCATTCAGATAATACTTCTCTGGATTCTCACTCCGTAATGCAAGGAAATTCCCTGCTTCTGCCACTTCGATCACTTTGATATTCCTTGCGCCTTTTGGAATCCGGCCAATATCAACGTAACCTAGGTGGAAAACATCCAAAGTTTTATGTAACATATAGGCAAAATGTACCCGCTGTAACAACAGTAGCAGAAACAGCACCCCAAATAACCAAACCAAATCTAAAGTTGACCAAAAACTGATTCATAATCCTTTTGGTACTAATGTTGGGGAGTGGTCCCTGGTCAAAGTGGTCCTTGGTCAAAAAAAGGTTGGGAACCACTGTTTTAAACTGTTAATTACTAAAGCTACATAACTGAATTCTCTTCTTTTGTTTCCCCATTCTGAGTAAAAACTCTAAGATTTTTTTTTTACATTGTGAGAGTACAGACATCATCAGTCTGCTCTATTTTTAATCTGCACATAATTTCATATGTTTTCTTAGAGGATTTTACAATAATATGTGATGGTGCAGTTGCATATGAATAAAAATATTTGTGAGGAAAAAGGCATTCTCTGTTTTGGAGCAAAGTAAAGAGCAAGGGATTTCCTCCAGTCTTTGAACAAAGGAGGGATGCCAGTTTTACTCCTTCTAAATATATGTATTAAATGTTATTAACAGCTGGTGCCAGGTAATTACATGTGCCTTTTTAATATCAATCAAAAGGTTTTAAATGAATGAATGCACAACTTAGTGCAGAGTTGGTTAATTTAAATGATTCAGTCATGAAGACTTTGGCACAATTCCTGGATCCTGTGTCCTACTGTAACAGCCTCAGTACATTTAATTGAAACAACCACACGTTCGCCCACTGTTTCCCACTCCTCTATTCTTTCCTATCTTGAACTGAAAGTATCTATTTGGTGTGATTAGAAGCAGTGATTCCCAAACCTCCATGTGTTTATCTCCCAGAATTTCTTTTCATTGGCCAAAATAGCTGAGACTGCTGGGACTTGAAGTTCAACGTATCAGGAGGATCAGAGTTTGGGTATCACTACTAAAACACAATGACAAATATGACAATGCAATGAGCCATTACACAGAGCCTTTAACAAAATGCTAGAGAATAAATGCTTCCCTCATCTAAGATGCTCCATTCCTTCCTCTTACTTCCCTAAAGTTCTCAATTCTATCCCAATAGTCAGAGTTTTTGGTACTCCTTGTTTTTGTTTATCCCTTTAGGTTTTCTAATTCTAATTATTGATATTGTTATTGAGCCATGATGTCCCTCCTCTCGAAAAAATTATAGTTCATTAAGAGACTACAAGTGTTTTTTTCTTTTTATATTAAAATCGTTTTCCAGAGGTCTGGAGTTGCAAAATTCTGAAGCTTTAGAGGTTTGGGAGCAGAGCTAGCAGCTGCTGCACCCTACAAACTCTATCAATTCTAAACCCTTTATGAAATTGTATCATTTTGATGATTTTGTGTAACTTGTGTCTTTTATATACTGTGCACTCTATCAATTCCTTACATAGAGTGTATAAACTGTCCTCTCTCTATATATATATTAAATGTAACTTCAAGGCAGCTATCTCTCTGTGACCCAGTTGGCATTAAGTCCTTGAGAAGGGGACCATGGCCAAGGTCCCTCCAGCCATTTACCAAGCCAGATAACTATCAGACCTATTGTGTAGATAATATGTAGATAGATGATCTTCTTTTCCAACAACATAAACTCAGAACGTTTGTCCATTTAACCCAACCCAAGCCTGAAAATCTCTTGCTCCCATGGAAGAGGGGCTTAAAAGATGTGCATTCATTACATTTCTATGCTGGCAGCTAAGTCCTTGATTGTCTAAGATCAGCTCCTTTGTCTTTTGAGTTTTACATCTTTGTCTTGCATGGAACTGGACACTTGAATTAATCAGAAACTCACCAGCATATCTAAACCATTGTCTTCAAATGGACTGCGCACCCCCCCTCCTCAGGGTGTGTATGTGCAATGGATTGGTTCCTTAAATAGACCAATCCCCGGCTGTCATTATTCCCACCAAAGGAATCCCCAACCAATCCCAGCACGGATCCTAGCCAGTCTCCTTCCTAGGCAATCAGGACAGGGAGTGGAAAGTCCGAATAGCTGTCAGAGCTGTATAAGATGTCTTGCATTTCTTGTTTCTCTGTCCTGGATGATCTGGTTTAGCATACACTCACTGGGCATGCACCCTTCAACCTAGCTGAAATCTCTACAAGATCACGACCAGAGTGGACTAGGGAATTCTGGGAGTTGTCATCTAAAAAGAAAATAACAACTTTCCCCACTGTTACATGGGTCAATTCAACATGCATAACTGGAAACTTTATAGGTTTCTCTTATGGGGGAAGCTCAATATCAAAGCATTGTTACTGGCACTGCTTCTGTATGCTTAAGGATGCTTTGAGGAAATGCAAAGATACCTTTAAAAATTAAAATAACAGTTACAATAACATATTCTTTGTCCTTACAATGCAGATTTTTTTTTATAACAGTAGGTCTGCTGATAGGTATATTATCTCTTCAATATCCATACTTTCAAGTTTAAATTAGCCTGTCATTTTGATAGCAGAGTTTTGCCTTATAGTCTTTGTTATCATGTCCTTCCCTTGCTCAAGAGTTTCATTTTCCAAAGCTTGTCATGTAGCTTTTGAACCATAATGAACAATATCTCCAGTAACAATCCAACACCTGGATGGCAACAGTTGGCTCCCAGCTGTGTTTAATACCATTAGTTCTGGAGGTTATAATGGGGATCCCACAAATAATTGTCTTGTTTCCAAATGTAATACTAAATGGGGAAAATTATAACCAAAAAAAAACAATGTGTTACTTTTCCAAGATGATAAGAGTTGTGAACTGACCACTCAATTTGACAGTTGGTGATTTTTCCCTGATTCACTGCCCTTGAAAATATCCATAGATTTAAACTTAAATCTGAACAAAGGGTTGGCTGTATCCTAATAACTGACACTATTGGTTCATATCAACACAACTTTTTCTAGTCTGAAATTTTGACAAATCCCCACTAGAAAATTAATAAAGCTTCAAATCTTTTCTTAGTGCAATATAACTCCATGAAGACTGACTATAATATATAATGGTTTACTAACAATAGTATCTAAAGCTAGAATCAAATAGGGAAGTGTTATCAGCCAGTACTTTAATACCAAGTTACTTTTGACAGGGAGATAAATTGTCCCATCCTTGAAAAAAGAAAGTATTCGGAGATTCAATGATACCATAATTTCTGTTCACTGGATGGACTCCCAGTTCCCCGCTCCTCTGCAGAGCACAACTGCCTTGGGGAAATTAAGAATGGCTTAACTTTTCCAAGTATTGAAATTCAGAATTCTAGTATACTGACAAAACTTCTGTGGTTCAGAAAGTAGGCTTGTGTATTCGGGGTAAACCTTGATCTGTTTAGTGTCCCAGCTTTCGGTAGGGGCCCCGATCCGTTTTTACAGAGCCCTCGAAATCAGGAAGGCAGATATATGCTTTTGCTTTTTGATGCCAAAATATCTGTTTTATTTTGGCCTATTATTGGGTGGGGGGCTTCCCACCCAGGCTCCCCTTCCCAGTGTATGCTTTAAGGAGGCTTTTATTGGGTTTTGCCTCACCTTCATCTGGGGAGTCGAAGGTCTCCCTGGCTAGGGTTGAAGACACCCCCAAGACAGAGATAGAGGAGAGAAGAGAGATTGAGCTCAGGGTGAAAACTAGCCAGCTCTGCTGCCATTTCCCCTTTCAATTGGGAAACCTACCTTGCGCCACTGCTGAGGTCTCTTCATCAGAGTTGGAGGTGGACCCATGGTGGGATCCTTGGTGTGGGGTTGGGGCATGCTGCATATGCAAGTTGCTTGCTGGGGCTTGCCCTCCATTGTATTTGCTGGTGGCCTTGCTCCGTAGATGTGTAGGCCCACATGGCAGACATGGGTGCTTTCTGGGTCTGCACACCACACATGCACTCTTTTTCCAAGGAGACTCCATGTGTGGCGTGCAGGCCCAAAGAACCCATGCCTGCCAGGGCCTGCAGCCAAACGCCTCTTACCCAGTGCCCAACTGCAGGCCCTGGAAGGTGCTAGTGCTTTGGGCCTGTACATCACACAGAGTGATAAGGGAAATGGGAGTGAGAAATGGTGGCGGAGCCGGCAAGTTTTTACCCTGAGAGCAATAATTTTTCTCTCCTTTAAAACTGTGATGCCAAAAAGCAGGCTTGGGTTGCTTGGACCCACTCATGCCTGCTTTTGCGTTAAGTTTATTTTCATCTTGGGAGGGGCTTTCCCATTCCATGCCTCTGAATGAACAAAAGAAACTAATGTAATGGGAGAAATGGATTTTGTGCATATGACTATCAGAAAGTACTATTAACAATGCAAAACAATGGTGGCTGTTGCAGATCAGAATCACATGCGTCTAGTTTCTGTCTCCCTTTAAGTAATCTTCTGTAGCTAGTTTCAATTCTGCTGCAGCAATATCCCACCTAAATATTGATCTTAATTGAGTTCAAACAATCCCTCCCAAATGCACTGCGACAATATGTGAGGGGCTTACAGAGTTTTGTGGATAAGCCTTGTATCCTCTCATTCATGTTTACAACAGCTACAGATGTCCGATGTTCCTACTAAGTGTATCTAGGACTCTTCATTATGATATGAAGAACACTCACACATGTACTCATAGTTGACAGGAAAAATTATCTTGACAGAATGAATGCAGTTTGACACCATTTTAACTGCCATGGCTCAGTGCTATGAAACCAAGGCAGTTGTGCTTTTGCCAGGTCTTTAGTTTTCTCTGAAAGAATGCGGATGTCTCACCTCACTAGAACGCCCTTGATTCCACAGCTTTGAGACATGACAGTTCAAATGGTTTCAAGTTGCATTAATTCTTCAGTGTCACCCATGTCAACAGAATGGTCAACTGTCATGAAATTTTTAGCATTCCAGGATTTACTGGGAAGGGAGGATTGTTTGCACAAAAAACTTGGGATACACAAAAATCCCATCAAAATTGAGCTGGCATTCTTCTTAGTGAATAAAGTAGGAATCAAACTTAAGTCTTTGAGTGTGTTGTTTTGGCTGTTGTGGAGGCTGGAATTATTTACCTTCCTT